CACATAACAACTATGAATTGGTAAACAAGGAGCAATGCTTTAGTAAAAAAAAGAGAGAGAGAGAAATTGACAGTAGGTATGATACACATATTCGGCAGTTAGTTTATTTATCAAGTGATGGAGGTCACTTTTCTACAAAACGGACCTAAGAGTTTGATCCTAGCTATGGCCCTGCTACTGTCTGACACACATACTATGCTGAAGTTTGTTGTATTGCATACTCTGCACTGTATTGTTATTATTTGTTGATGATTTTTAATTGCAGCAATAAAAATGCTGTTTAGATATACTTTCCACCTCCACTATATGTATAATAGTACCAAACTATACTGAACTGAAGGCTTAAATGGAACGGAACTTTGTTTCAGGCCTTTAGGTTACGACTTTAATGCATAAGCAAAAGTAGCTGTGGATTATAGCACATGCTGTGCCTTGTCACCGCCTTGTTCATTCTTGACAAAAAAAAACCTGGATTAAGATCAGAATACATTCCCAGAAAAGCCAACAGGTTTGATATCACGTATGCGCTTTCCCAAAAACTTTCTTATTGAAAACCTGCCTGGACAGTGAGAGATCAATCAACAGTGTTGTAAGACAGAGCCCGGGGCTATACCAAGTTTACACTACGAGAGAACACGGATTCTAGAGAAGGCAAGGAACATGCAGTCTCAATACCAGACCAAGCACCCCAATCTGAGAGGGTGCAATAAATTGTCATAGTAGCGAAAGTAGATGCCAAAGTAATAATCTGATTTGGCGGCGGTGGAATCAAGCTTTGCTCCTGGGTTTAGCGCAGATTCCAGGTTTTATGGTTCTCCGTGGTTTGCAGGTTTTATAAAAAGATGATGAATTAAAAAAAACAAAAAACAAAAAGAATTCTAGTGTACAGGGAGGATGCTTTCTGGTGCAGCCATCACTCATAATGTGGGCGTGAAGCTGTCAGTGAATCTGGAGGCACATATTGTTATCCACTCTGCCATTTTAGGATAGACATTAAATACACCTTATCAAAACACATCACCAAATGAATTTGTAAAACATAACTATTTGCAATTTGCAAATCCTTTTTTTTGTTCTGTCCACAACTGTTGCTCAGACTGAATATGGCAGCATAATTTGGACTTAATTCAAATTCGAAACATAATTATGGAAGTTAATCTAATCAGTAGCGCACATGAAAATTAAGATATTGTTATTAAACATAAACATTCAGCAATGTAAATATGGTTAAAGCATAGAATTCTAGGTCCATTCATAAAACAAACACACACACACACACACACACACACACACACACACACAAACAAAATCCCAGTGACGCAGTGGGTAGCACTGTCACCTCATAGCAAGAAGGTCCTGGGTTTGATTCCCAACCGGGCAACCAGGGTCCTTTCTGTGTGGAGTTTGCATGTTCTCCCAGTCAGTTTCCTCCCAAAGACATGATATGCCATGATGTTGCTAATCTAGGTGAAACTAAGGCTAACTACACTTCAGCAATATTATATAGCAACACCAGCTACTCAAACTGTAGCCTAGTGATTCCAAAACCACTTGACAAAGCTTGCTGTTGTGCTTGGGGGTATTTTGATGAGGTTTCCAGTCCTACAATGTCAATTAGGTAGGAATGTTACCTTGTACGTAGCATAATGAAGCAATATTCCTATTTCTACTGCTTACTTACTGCAATAATGATCTTGCAATTCAAATGATGAAATGGGGAAACTGTGCATGAAATAAAACATATCTTTGGAACTTTCTGGTTAACCACAGAGTGTAACAGGAACGACTAGATGGCTTGGATGCAGGGTTTGTCCAGATGCTAATCACAAAGTAAATATTGGCTATACACCCTCAGAGGTCTGTTAGACATTGTTGTCCACAAAAATGCAAATTTAAAATACATGCTTAGGAAATGACTGAACTGGCATTTGCATTTGACCTTAAAAAAAGTCTGGATTGTGCTGCCATTGACAGAAATAAGGCTGTTATTCAAATATGTTAAAAAATCTTATGTATGTCTCTTCATTAGCCCTATAACGAGAATAATAATATAGATATGTTGAGTAAAACATGAGTGTTTCACACCTGCAATTCACTTCTTTCTTCTCACTATACATCAAATTAGTTACATACATCTGAGGGTATTCTGCCCTCTGCAGGTAAGGTGGGTGGAGCCAGAGTCAGAAAAAGACACAAAGTGGTCTTCTTTATTATTACTGCCTGATGTTTACTTCACAGGGCACTGCACTACATATTGAACATAAATGCAAATAACTACACTGCTGAATTTCAGAATACCAGCATGTGGCCAAAACTGAATGTCAACAATAATATACACAAAAATTATATATAACAATGGATGTATATATAAAATGTATTATTCATTTATTCTATTAGCTCATTTTACAATATTAAGTAAACAAGTAGAAAATGGATCATGCCCAAAAAACCCTTTTAATAAATAATAATTATCTTCTATTTCTCTAACATAAAACCTCATCTATAAACAATCTCAATGAAAATGTTTTAAGTGTTTAATTTTCCCTCTGCTAGTTTAAAAATAAAAAAATAATGATTTTATGATAGTTTTAATACAGCTCTGTAATCAAATACAAAACATATCACAAAGATATATGAACACATATGGTAAAATGTTATGTACCACAGCAGTAAAATTAAATTTATGGCCTTGATGTAAATAAAACCTGAGCACCGCTTGCAAGGGCAAAGCGTGGTATTAGTACACAAATTAGGTTAAGCTGTAGCATTTAAGTATACAGTCTATATAAGTGAACAAGTGTGGGCCTGATGTTAAAATGACTCATTGGAAAACATCTAGGTCACCGGGTAACGTTATTTGTCAGTCCTGAAACTAGGATTAGTTTGGAACAAACAGATGTCAATGGAAATATTTAACTGGCTTAATTTGATTGTAATTGATTATCCTTACTAGTCAGCACCTTCCCTTTTTTCCAAGATATCTTAGCAGAATAACAAAATGGCACCACCAAAATGTGGCTTAGATACTGGTAACTGGTCAACTCAGCTTCTTTAAAGGAGCATTTCAGCCTAAAACTAGCATTTAATATGTTATTTGTCAAGTTATGCAGTATTCATGATTTTGTATTCTTTCTGTGTTTTCGTCCATCAGTGTGCTGTCACTACAATACCCAACATGCATTACACAAATAAGTGATGCAATCATTTGGACTCTCCACTCACAGCAATAAAGAAATGCACTGATGTAGAAGCTAATAAATACAATCTCTTTCCTAACAGTAAACATTAGCTATCTGGCTTCTTTCTGTATTAGCCAGTCAGTGGAAAGAACATTTTCAACCCAAGCAATTGTACACTCTTAAAAAAAGATGGTTCTTCAAGAGTTCTTTAGTAAAGCCAATGGTTCTATATTGAGCATTCAACACATTCTTCATCAATCTGAAGAACCATTTCACAATGCAAAGAGCTATTTAAGCATGAAATGGCTCTATACAGAACTCCAAATAGAACCATTCTCTTTACTAAAGAACCTTTGAATAAGCTTTTTAAAGAGTGTAGCTTTTCAAAGGTTCCTCCCACCCTTATGATACATCATTCGAAGTGGATTTTCTCTGGTATTTAAACCAGAATATCTCACTCGTGAGACTATTGTGGCACCAGTGTAAGATGCGAGTAGGCATATTCATAACAGATGTAACAATGGTTACATCTTTCGTTCTAGACAGATTACCCCTTTAAGCTTCAGATTATACTGCAGCTGATATTATAAGTATTCCAGAAATTTAGGTCAATTAAAGGTCAATTAAAACATGAAAAAAGTACAAAAAGGTACACTTATTGACCTGGGCAGATGTGCAGAACATGTAATGGCCCCCTGCGGATGATGTTGTTTTTAAGATGAATGTGGATAATGCAGACACTGTTGTAGAGAAGTAAACAGTTATAAAGAAATTATTTGTAAAGCTCTACTGAGCCTGAACCCCAACTGTTGGTGACTGACAAATCAGGAGCAGGTAGTGTTTTCAAATTTGTTCATATTCATACAGTACTGCGCAAAGGTCAGAAACCATCCTTTATTTATTCAATTTCCAGTCAAAAAGTTATTAATTTGTCAGGGTCAGAAAAAAAGCAGGAAACGTATTACGCAGAAGCCTCCAACACCAAGTATAACATCAAGTCTAACAGTACTTAATTTGTCCACTCTTTACTTGTGTGCACTCTACTGCCACTTTAACTCTTCCATCCCTCCAATCTTATTTAGATATAAAATAACTGACTTGCTTAATGAGGGGGAAATAGTTTCCAAAACTGGAGTTCAAAAAAAAATATTACAAATAGTATTTCTAACTACGCAAGACCTAGTAGACCACCAAAACTGTCACCATCAGATAAACAGCCATTAAAACTTTCGTCTTTGAGAGAGAGGAGAAAATCTTCACTTCTGCTTCTTATCATAAAAAATCCACAGGTGTTTCTGTCTATCATTCCACTTTACTGAGTAAAGGAAATAGACAAAAAAAATCACACTGGAACACTGAAACCGGACATCTGAGATGTGGAGTAATGTTTTATGGACTGATAAGTCTGAATGTGTTTGGGTTTACTTAGATTATGAGAAGCAGAAAATGCAACCAGAGTGAACTTTGGAGGTGTGGAAAAATATTCCTGCAGATTTCTTTGAAAAACTGAAAGCAAGTCTCCTGAAAAGAATGGAAGCAGTGATAAGTGATAAAGAGAAGGGTGGACGCACTAAACACTAAAAGACACGTAACTGTTGAGGATTCTGTGTCCTTTTCTGTTAATTTTTTTCTGCTTTTTTCTCCTGATACTGAATAACTTGTACTTAATGGACGTTTTGACTAGAAATTCTATGAATAAAAGGGTGGTCACTTTATGTATCCATAAAACTTAGGTCATCATCATCCAGCGTGTCACTTTGCAATGCCTGTTGCTCTTCAGACTTGCAATTGAAAATAATACAATCATTTTCCGTACTGTATTCACAAGATGGAACACACTGCGGAGTGGTCTTTTTTCCTGAAGGCCGTAGTTGGGTGGGACCAGCGTTGCCAGCTGGACTGGAAATCTTTGGGGTACAGGCCGGTGTACCCCACTGCCTCCACTGTGCTCCTCCTTTGGACACGGTGCAGGACAATGCGGTACACTCCTGTTAAAGGGCTCCGGCAGTCCAGCTGTGCATTGTTCTTTAGGTGGTCCTCCGTAATGCCCAGCTCTTCCAGCGCTGCCTTGACCGCCTGCTCGTCTGCACTGAGCACCCGTGAGGGGTCTGCAAGGTGCTCCGGGGTGGTCAAGGCAGTAGAGTATGGTTGCAGGTACTCGATGTCCTTCAGCCAGATACTGGACATGACCTTGATCAACGAGGAGCGGTCAGTAGGCACCTGTCTCAGGAGGCCCCTGATGACATTCTGGCAGGGGTCAGGAACGTATGAAGGAATGGCATAGGCACCCTGAAGGATACACAGTTTAAGTTTGCCCAGGCTGGTCCCGTTGAAGGGGAACGTGGCTGTGACCATGAAGTAGAGCAGCACGCCCAGAGCCCAGAGATCCACAAAAGGCCCCACGTAACCTTTGTCTTTGAAGAGCTCAGGAGCTGCATAAGGTGGAGAGCCACAGAAGGTGGTCAGGATCTGGCCAGGTTGGCACTCGGTGCTGAAGCCAAAGTCACCCACTTTGACGGTGTAGCTGGTGGTGTAGAACACGTTCTCAGCCTTCAGGTCTCGGTGGATGATGTTGTTGTCATGCTGAGTGTGGAGAACAAAGAGACTTTTAGAAAAGGGGGGCTCTGAAAGAAGTTGTCTTTGGAAACCCCAAGTGGTGGGAACCTCTAATATAAAACTCTAAATCTACATTAAGATCTATAATACATCATACACAGCCTTTCTTTGGCTGTGGCTCCTCAGACAGGGGTGGATTTACTGATTCTTGGGCTCTGGGCAAAAGAGAGTAATGGGGCCCCATGGATGCACATTTTGAAATTAGTTGGTGGTGCAACTGTGTACACTGTAAAAATGAAACTGTCTTAAATGTATTCCATTTATCTAATGTTTCTAATTTAAAGATCATTAAAAAAAATATTGTAAGATTATTTAAAGGGCCTGTATCCTACATTTTTCTTATATTTTTATTTTAAGTCCACTTATAATGGTTGTGTGAGTTTGGGTACCACAAACAGTCATAATTTGTGTTTGTATGAACATTTTCCAACCTCTCTTTGTCCCTTGGATTTATACAGGCTGTTTTTATTACTATGCCTTTAACACAGGTACATGTAAATGAGCTCTGCTTTGATCAGCTGCCCTGTATTGTGCTTCATTCAAAAAGCAGTTTGAAAGGATGTGTGAACTGCTGTAGGCTGAATAGGCAGATATACGTACATGTTTTGGTTTTTCATGACTTCACAAAAACAATGAATTTAAAACCGGTTGTTTTTGCAGCTTAGTTTCCATTTATGGATTGGAGAGTGAATATGTATGTTTTTTGAATAGTATGTTTTCGAATGTGCAATGTTTAAATATAACATTAATCTCTTTTATTTTTTATTACCAAGCAAGAGAAAATTGGCTTTCCATTATATGGCCACTTACCATGTGTCTGACAGCAGACAGAATCTGAGAGAACACAAGTTTGCTCTCTACACCAGACAGTCGCCCCCTGCTGGAGATCCTGGAGTATAGCTCTCCTCCAGAGGCATACTCCATCACCAGGTGCAGCCTTCTGAAGGTCTCCACCACCTCGTACAAGCGCACAATGTTGGGATGGGACAGTTTTTCCATGCAAGCGATCTCAGAGGAGAACAGTCTCTGGGAGTGCCGGTCCAGACGCACCTTGTCTAAGATTTTGACAGCAACTCGCTCTAAGAAGTGAAGAAAGAAACAGAGGGGCAAGGGTTGGGAATGAGAGAGAGAGAGAGAGAGAGAGAGAGAGAAAGAGAGAGGGAGGGAGGGAGAGAGAGAGAATGATGAATGCAACAGAAATATCAGTTCCAAGCAAGACAGAAGGGGGCCTAAATTTTGAAAAGATAATGCAATGAATTTCATCAGATTAATGTGCATGCATAACTTATACATTAATGAAATAATTACAACAGCACACCTTTGTGTTTGAGTTCACTTACTTTTGACAATAACCATGTACAGTACTATACTGTAATGTCAGAGACCACACATTTGTTTATTTATTTTTTAAAACAGCGAAGTTATTAATTTTTCTGAAGATATTTCCAAGGAGATTATATAGTAAATAATCTACTTGCATAAGTAAGGAGAATGCCAAAGGAAAATGAATGAAAAAAACAGCAGTTTTCAGAACTGGACTTCAAAAATTATTTTAAAATTTTGAGAAAATGGGACTCCTAAATACTATGCAAGACCTGGTAGACCACATAAACTACTACCATCAGATAAACAGTACTTAAAGCTTTTATCTTTGAGAGAGAGGAGAAAGCCAAGGTTCACTCTTATTTCAGATCTGAAAAAATCCACAGGTGTTTCTGTCCATCCTTCCACTGTGAGAAACCAACTCTGAAAGTCTGAAAGGATATGTAGTTGCCAAGAACCCCTTACTGAGAAAACTAAAATGAACAAAAATATGAAAACTTGCACTAGAACTCTGAAACTGAACTTTGCAGATGTGGAAAAATATCCTTTTAGATTTCTTTGAAAAACTGAAAGCAAGTCTCCTAAAAAGAATGAAAGCTGTAATAAAGGCAAAGGTGGACACACTAAATACTGAAAAATCTGATATTTAATATCTATATTTTATGTTAGATTTAATAGTTAATATTTTATTTCGTTGTTGAAGGTGTGTAATTTTCTCTTAAGTATGTTTATCAGAAATACATATGTTTTTTCTTGATGCTGAAAATTGACTTGACATAAATGAAAAGGTGGTCTCTGACTTTTACACAGTACTCTATGTGGAACTGATGCACACAAATCAAGTCAATTCAACACATTACTTTTTTCAGGGCAACTATCCATTTTAAACTCTGTGTTTTTATTGAAAACTTCTTTACTTACAGACTTCCTGCAGAACACAGAGAATAAGGGTGAGGGTCTAGGAGATCTATAGTGATTACCGTAGCTTAGACGAGGCTACCCATGCTCCTGTTACATGTGGATTAGCCTAGTTCTGCCTCTCTGCCTCCAGACTTACTGTGCCAGGAAGGGTGAGAACATGCTGACATCACCATCCCCAAAACAAAAAGTGACAGTGGGAGTGACCGGCTCACGTGGACTGATCAAGAAATGAATGAACACCTGGGAGAAATCGGTCACCTCACCCCACCAGCCGAAAGAACCCAACTCTGCTACAGAGTTTTAAGACAATGATGGGTGAGCAGTAAAATACATCACAATCTAAGGCATCGTAGGCACTTCATTAGCCAAACTAGGTCTGTTAGAGAAATGAACCACAAAATCCAGACATATACTGTCAGTCAAAAGTTTGGGCATCCCTGTTTAAATGTCTCTTTTTTTCATAATCTTAAAGGCATCTTGATCTGAAAATACTTAAAGGGGAATTTTGGACAAAATGAAAAATGTAATTATCGCTACATCTGGAGCAAACATGCCCCCTCGCCTCTTACAGCAGTAATTTTACAGGCTCTAGTGAAATTTTTACAGTTTAAAGACTAGAAAACCCCGCTCTGATGATGTAATTTGAAGGTGGGAGGAACTACTGAAAAACTACAAACACTTTGGGTTGGATACTGGTGATGCAATGCTGTGCTACAAAATAGTACATAACAAATAACATGGTAAATACTATTTTTAGGCCAGAATTCCCCGTTAAATGCTTGAGATTAGTTTCAGATGCCTAAGTATTTAAAAAAAAATTGAAGCCAACAGTAGCCAACAAGTGCTCAGTATATATAAAGCTCCTTCAGGCCTGTTGGAAAATCTTCTCAGATGGCCCCTCATGAAATACCAAGAATATACAAAGTTGCATCAAGGCAAAGTGGGGCTACTTTGAAGCTCCTAAAAATAGAACATAGTTTTCCTTTAACACTTTTTTGATAACTCGGAAAAGCGTAAAAACAGGGAAAAACTTTTTGTGTCCAAACTTCTGAACAGCACTGTATACACTGAATAAACATCTACACGCTTAGATATAACATCATACAAGATATAAGTCTAAATTAAGGTTGAAGAAACATGAAAATATTTCCCAGTGAAGATGGTATATAGTAAAAGCACAGCAGTAACGTGGTCAGATACCTTTGGTGAGGACATGGATGCCCAGCCTGACCTGGGAGAAGTTCCCACTGCCGATCTCTCCACGGAGCTCATAGAAACTGAGGCGCCGGCCGAAAGTCAGGTCATTAATCACTCTTTCAGAGTGGGTGAGGTCATACACGGCCTGTTCGAACGCAGTGCGCTTGGACTCCAGCTCTGAAGGATCCTCTCTTGGCTCCAGTGATTCTCCCCTTCTGACTTCCTTGACACGGGCTTCCTCCTGCCAGGCAAGCTGGGGGACGAGCTCTCTGCAGTGGGACGGCATGGTCTGCTGGGCCACCTTCCCTGGAGACGAAGAAAGAGAGGGAGAGACAATGGTAGAGAGAGAAGTGGAATGCAGTAGGACACATGATGAATGCAGTATCTCATTAAAGGAATAGTTCAGTCAGAAATGTTAATGTTGCTAACAGTGAATGGAAGTGAATGGCTGTCAATGAGCATTATGCAAATTAGATCATGATAATTAGTGGCTGCTAGCTAACATTCATTATTGGCCATGTTAACATATTTGGCTGAGCCGTTGAATTACAAAACAGTTATTAATCTTAAGACTTATTGTTCAGTAACATTAACATATGAGTTACTTTGTAACAACTATAAAACTTATGTGTGAGTTACGTCATTATGAATGTGATGAATTGAAATGTGAGATTACAAAAGGAGAGACAGGAAATAGTGTGGAAATCAGTCAAATCCACAAAGGTAAACTACAACATTTAACCCTTAGAAGTTACAGTTGTCCTGAACGATGACAGAAACATGGCGTAATCCTAAACTATTTACTAGCTTATTGAAAATAGTGGAGAAATTCTGTTTAAAGCATTGAAACTTTCAATTCATACTGCATTTGTTAGCCTTAGAGAAGATATTTTAATATAGTTGGATTTGAGGAAAAATGTCTTGTTTCTCAGAATGAAAAAAATTACAGTTTTGCCATGTTTTTGTCATTTTGACACCAACACAAACAGAAAAAGTCAGCACAAATTTGAGCTTTGATGCAAAATGTGAGCTGAATGTAAATGTAATTCACTGCACTGTAAAAATGTATTTAAAATGAGTCAAATAAAGTGCTACATCAAAGTAATTAGCAACTGTCTAATCAGCATAACGTTCTCTTTGCCGATTGCATGTTTGGAGAAAATAAATGGGCCTATTCTGATCTTATGTTATATTTTTATTGACATTATATTGATGCTACTAGGAAATTTTGTCATTTTGCTGCCTAAGTAGACTGGGAGCAGATAGGGACTGTGTCTGATTATGTGTCATTAGTTATCAGATTTCAGTAATATAACAAAGCTGAGGCTTAATGGCAGTTATGTATGTTAGGTCTTTGCTTACATAGCAGCTGTCTTTTCTCGTTCTTCTTTGGTTTGCAGTTCTTATTCCTGTTCAGAAACATGGTAAGCTTGCTTCTATGTCTGTCTGGATGTTCACTTCACACGTCACTTTCATAAAGTGGTGATCACTGATAATCTTCGTTCTCCTGCTGTGGCTGAACATCTACTATAAATTCCACGTTGTGTAGATACCTCCTCTTTTTCAGTTTCAAATCAAGCTCCTGATGAAAACGTGCTCAGCTGCTCCTCAGTGTCCTCCTGAAAGTTCTTGCGCTCCTTCAGAGTTTCTGCTGTCCTCTTCAGAGCGATGTGTCTGAGCACAGCCTCTCTGGAGCAGGACACAAACTCTTACCCTCCCGTCCACATGCACTCCACTCCTCTGCCACTGAGTGTTTCCCTGCTCCTGCAGCACTGAGGTATCAAGCTTGGCTAATCCAGAAGACAGACCTTCTGAACTGACCTGTAGACCAAACACGTTTCACATATCTTTGGCTGTCAATCATTCACAGAGACAGTGATGGGATTATGGATTCTCACTGTCTGTAGCTAGGCCTTTGGGGTCAGTTGGGAAATGAAGGTCAATGTTAGGTTGTTTGTTTTGGAACATCTTGGAGTATGTAGGGCAGAGAAAAGCAGGGCTAACCTGCAATGTCAGAAGCAACAAAATTGACCTGATGTTCTAAAGTCCTTTTTTTAACAAGAACTTTTTTCCTTTTTTTTGTTTGTTTGTTTATTTGTTTGTTTTTTAGACTGACAAAGCCATTTGGCTTAAATGGCCAAGGCATTCCCATACTACCAATTTCTGTAGGTAAAGACATTATAAGATGTAATAAGCCTGGGATTCTTAGGGTTTCAGGTTAGGTTTAGGTGTTGAGTTTAAAGGCTTAGAAAATACTTACACAGAGATACAAAGGAACTTATATATATAATACATATGGGACATATTACTACAAATATTTTAGGATGCTTTTTATGTAGCATTTAAAAAACTGACACCTGCTCTAAAATTTCATTAAGAATAGACAAACAGAAATGCTCCATTAACATGAACTAATTAATTTAAAATTAATTTTCAGTTTTTGACATAATTTGAAAGTACCTATTGTCCTGTACATTGTGTGTAAATTTCATGATGAATGGACCAACAGAAATTACCCAAAATTACTTGGAAAAAAAGTTTCCATTGACTTACATTAAAAGTACAGTATGTTTTTTCCTCCTAGTGTAAAGTTTAAAATAATAATAATTATTATATTATATATATTAATGATAATTAAAATAATTTTGGACATATAGGGTTTTGTTCCGACAACAGCGACATATATACACACACACATTATGATTACGTCTTATGGGACATAGTGTTATTAAATTTGTCTGTCCATGTTTGTGTTCCTGTTTTTGTCTTTCTGCTGGCTGTGATCAATTTGAAGAATTCCATTGTTAATGCTTTGCCATTGAAAAAAATTGCAAATATTAAGACATAAATGGCCTTACAGAATGTATTCTAAAGACTGACCTCACAGAAGTTGCACCTCAGTACAACTGAAGGACAAAAAATGAGTCCGCAAGACGTCAGTATCAGACGTCTGTCATCTCACAATGTAGACAAATCCAGATACATCTCACATGCCCACACACCCTAGGCTAAGACCTCGTTAATTTCTCTGACTGAGCACTCTGTGCATTAGTGAGAGAGCACGTGCGGAACAGACAGCAGTTGACTCACGGATAATCCTGCTGCAGACTGAGAGGGAGGAGTCCATTTAACAAGCTAATACCTTTACACCTCCAACTCAGCATCAGGTCCTAAAGTGTTTAATGTAACTCAACTGAAAGAACCTGTCCGCTGTATTTAAAGGTGCAGATCATTCAACTACTGCGTTTGAACCACTTCCTGCTATATACATGTGGTGCGAAAGGTTCCTCCACAAACCAGATTATTACTCCCATCACCCAGCTTATAGATACATATTAAAAGTTATACTCTGTCCAGTAGATTCGAACAAATGACCAGTAGAATGGAACAAAGTGGACGAACATGAACAGTAAACAGCATTCAAAGGTGGTCATATTACATATATGGTGCATATTCTTCAGAGGAATCTAGCACAAAACTATACTATATTTTACCAATGCAGTGATAATGTATAGATGCATCACATATCATTGATACAATTCACACAGCTTCAGTAATAGTTGTTGGTTAATGTGCATTTGGAACGGTTTGATGATCCAAGGTGCACCTCTGAAGGACTTTCAAACCCTTCCAAAGGTCAAAAGCTATGCTAGGTAGCCCCCAAGACCTGCCCTTTTTCCATTATCATGGAAAAGTTGTGGATTTTGGGACCAGGCCAAGATGCATTACAAATAGTGTTTCCTGGGGTTCAAAAGGAAGGAAGCTGAACATCTTAGTTTTGTCATTTCCTTTGGCATTGGTCTTCAACAGTTAAGAGTTTCCAGTAGTCTCAAATAATCTCATCAAGCTCATAATGGCAATTTATGGAAGCTAAACAGATAAGTAGCTAAAGTTCTTGCAATGAGTTGCTGGCAAATGAGTGATTAGGGTGTCATCCAGGTCTTGACTGGATCAGAGATAGAAACCAAGCTGGTATCAGTGTGATCAAGGTGAAGGTGTAATGAAAGATCAATCAGTACAATGAGTGAGATGGAAATGGCTCAGGAGGATGAAGACAAGACATCAAAGGACAGAAACTGAACCCAGTAATGGCTGAATACACTGAGGCTGAGCTGGGCTACAGTTTTTGGACATGAGTCCTAAAATGTCCTTAATAGTGTAAACATTTTGTGCAATAAAGTTAATTAGCAAGTAAAAATGGAGGAATTGATCATTTTGGTGCTATAAAAGAACAGCCAGATGATGCACATGGGAACAAGAAACAGCACACAGCCATTACTCATAAAATTAACTGCGGTTTGACCAACTAGTTCAGTTCATCCATGTACATTCTGGTGCTAAATGGTTCTTTGGAGCCATACCATAGACAAACTACTTTTATTTCCATTTTATACATAAAGACACTACATTTATGCATGTTTTGTAGTTCTGTCTCTTACTTATGTAAGATGTTCTTGGGCTTCCAGTTACCGATGGCTGTGGCATCACTTCACAACCTCCTTATGTTGGGGTGAGTGCTTAGATTTTTGCTCCCATAAAACTTAAATACACTGTGAAAATAGTTGTTTTAACTTCAACTAATCACATCATTAATATTAAAGTCCAACTTAAATTTGCTATTTACCTGAACAAAGAACTTGAACAATATTAGATTCATTTTAATTAGTCCAACAAAACTGGCCTCAGAACTAGGCACTTATTCAGTTAGAAGAAAAGTAAAATATTCAAGTTTCACCATTTATTTTAAGTTGTGAATGCTCTAAACTTTTGAGAGAACAATAACATGTCGTAGACAGGTTATCTAAACTTCTTATCCAATGTTCAATAAAGTTGGGTCAGCTGGGATACTTGAAAAACAGTTGACGTCAGACATACTTGGTGGGGTCAGCAGGACTTCTGTTCTTTTCTAAGCTGAGATAGAGATAGCAATAGAGACTAAGTCAAAAACAGAGATACAGATATAGCGTATGTTGAAAATGCTGGAGGATTCCTTGAAAGAACAAACCACTGAAGGTTTCTTTAGTTGGATCTTTGTAGCATTATTCTATAAGACCCCCTCATTTGGTCTCAGAGAATTGTTTTAAAGTCTAACATGATAACGCAGGAACATTAGATTCCCAAAGGGAAGACAAAACAAGAGCGTACACTCCCAGTTTGTAGCATACTTCTGTTCATCTACTATCTCTAATACATCTTTGACTCTGCTCCATCCTTTCTTTGCCACAGAAAAGGCCTGAAAGCAAGGACGTCTGTGTGAGTGTAGGCTGCTTTGACCTCTCTCTCACACACCATTTGGCTCATGTTGAATAAACACCAAGGTGCTGCTCTCCTCAGCAGGAGGGGGGCCAGGCACAGCCAGTTTACTTGTGTTTTGCTCTAAACGGAGGTGCTAAACACCTTCCTCCAAAGATAAAAGATGATTAATACCTTCCAATGAGAGGTGCTTAGAGCCTCAAAGCCCCTTAAGCAGTTCATTAGAGAAAGGATGGGCATGAGCGACACAGTGTCCCACAGATATCTCGCACCCTGAAAACAAGGGGAACTTGCCTTCAGAGGTGAAAAGCTCTGCAGGTACTTTCAGGAGGGGGGGGGGGGCGTTCTCTTTGAACTTTGATGTTGCCCCCGCCTAGCAGCAGGCATTAGAGTGATGGAAATTTGATTACTCCTTCTGCCCTTTCATTTAGCACCAGCGGGGAGCATTTAGCCAGTGACATTTGTGGCCAGAACAGAGACACGTATAAATATCCCGAGAGGCAGGTCGGCAGGGATAGTCAGTCAAGGCAGAGAAGCATGGGAGTACACGCAGTGCTGAGGAATATTGCTGTGGATATGATGCCACTCTGTGTGCTCCTCCTTCTCAGTGTGTGCCATCAGAGCTGTAAGTAGCATCCTCTTTCTGTTCGTTTCTAAAGAATTTCAGTTTATCTTCACAGTGTTTTTTCTTTCACATTTGAGATCAACGTTTTATTTAGAGTTGTGCAGAATACTTAAGGCACCGTCCTAAATGTCTTGTCCTAATTATATATATATATATATATATATATATATATATATATACTATTTTGGTGATGCTTGATTTTTTTTGGACAGCAACAATTTTCAGTATACATTTGGAATACATTTTAATGAGGCACATGGGAAACTCTGATGCTGTCATATTTACTTAATTACTATTATCATACTGTTCTTTGCTGATACTCATGGAAACCCTAAAAGGCCATGTATTTGCACGTTTTTTACTCCTTTTTCAATGATAAGTTATTTTAAACATCATTCGTTGTATTGTGATAATGTTATAATTCACTCAAAATCTCAAGAATGGATTCATGGCCCTTCAGAGCTTCCATATTTACTGGTTGGCAATTTTCTTCATTTCATTCTTCTGGTAATATGTTTTATGGCAAGCAGCATTTTCTAAGCCGCTTATCCTTCTGGGTCAAGGAGCTGGAGCCTATCCCAGCAGTCACTGGGCAGAAGGCAGGAAACACCCTGGACGGGTCGCCAGTCCAGTTCCAAAACAGTTAGCTGGTTTTAAAAGTTAATAAACGACAACAATTAACTGATTATAAATGATATAAATGACAATGAACAAGCACTGGACAGTGTTTATTTTAAACATTGCATGTTTTTCATTCCAGGGTATGTTCTATTAAAAATGTGAAAAGTAACTGTTCAGAAATTTCCTTTTTTCTTTTTCCCCACCTGCTTCATCTCATGAACTAAGCAAAAGTGGGACATTTTTTGGTAGTTGTGCCTGCATAAACCACCTAAATATATATACCATATATACCACCTAAATGTAAATGTGTTAATGTGAAAATGTGAATATAGTGTTTATATGTATAGGCTTATTATGGTCTCTTTAATATAGTTATCCATTTAAGATTATACTAATGGAGATGTCCACCGCTGAGGAGACTGTTCAGTTCATGTCTTGAAAGAGCTGACAGAGATGAATAACTGGCTCATAACATTGGTTTATCAGTCTGCTCAGCCTACTACAGCCATTTGTTAAGCATGTCAGTGATTATGTATTGTAAAGTTATTCTCTGAAAATTGTAAAAGATAGCTGTCCAAATACTGCCTTTTCAAAATACTTCATTTCTGTATTCTGAATACATATTATAAACATTTGTATTGCATTAAATCCTATCAACTACCGCTACTAAATATAATACTGCATTTTATTTGATTGGTGCTTGTTAAGAACATATAGCAGTACGCAAAAGTTTGGGCGTCCCTGGTTAAATGACATCCAAGGTTGATTTTCTAAGTGAAAATAAGTTAACACACTTCTGCATGTTTTAATGCATGATTACCGTTTATTTACTGAATATAAAATATTGTAAAAAAGTTAAAGTCAAAAGCAAGTCAAATATACTAATTACTCTGAATTACACTGATCATGAAAAGTATTCATTGTGGTTTCCAAAGAATAACTGCACTAAAATAGCAGGCCAAGTATTCAAATTCTGCCCAGAATACATTAAATGTCTACTGTAGATCTAAAACAACAAGAAAGATGTCATTAATTTGCACAGCACTATTTGCACTGCCTTTTAGTCATTCTAAATGGCTGTATGGTGGCAATAATACTAAGAAGTTAACTAAGCATATTTTTATGTGTCTTTCAGCAACAGCAGTATTGAACAAGTACGGAGAGCCAAGGAACCTATTTGCAGAGAGAGCCTGCTGTAGACGCCAGAGTCACTTCATCTACATAGGAAAAGGTGAGGAGCAAGGATGGGCCTGTGGCATAGCGCCCCTATGAGCTCAGCCCAGAACTAACTGCCTTAATACCAAAATGGCAAAAATAGTATTGCTGTTATGTTGAAATCTCGCAAGCCAAATTTTTACACTGTTTGTAAATGCCCACTGCCCTTTATGCTTTGTGAACATTTCACAATGATGGATCAATAGAAGCATTCAAAAAATCTTGTTACATTAACATACACTATGTATCTACATTAAAGTTAAGCCTGTTTTCCCTTCTCCTATGAAGTTACTACTTCTAAGTTAGAAGGTTTTGTTATGACAATGAAGCAAACAACTGTAAAACATATCTTTCCTCTGGATCAGTATGGAGATATCTCAATGATAATATTTTTTATCTCTGTTTGATTATTCAGATATCTCAGGCAGTCCAGTGAATGTGGATGTGGGCATGTGCAGAACACATTGCCAATCACAGCCTTCCTCTTTCGAGCTTGGGATGCAAAGCTACTCAAGACACTCCTCCATGCTTGACTTCCTCAAAGACAAAAAGGTATTAGAAGTGCTCCAGACAACATAATATGGCTGAATCCCTGCCCACAACCTTCAAAACCAAAAAACAAACAAGCAGACTAGACTATTGACAGCACAATGTTACAAGAATTGAATTAAAGTGCCACAGGTTGAGCCCTTAAACTCTAAGATTGTTACTAAGTCTTTTCATGTAGTAACTACAAAAGATTCATTATTCTCTAACTGATGAAACTAGCATATAAGTAAGTAATGAGAGTGAGAAACTGAAGTGTGGGCCCCATACTGGCCCCTTAAAGCAAAACATTAGGTATTTTTATGGTTGCATCAAAAGATATTGGCTCCTATTTACTTACTAAAATAATGATCTTCCTTGCTCAGATGCGAATGCTTGGAGCTCCATCTCGAGAGTCTGGGCCCACTGGTGGTGGTGCGCCGTCATGCGGATCCAGCTCTACCTGTGAGCCCACTGGGACACGAGTGGACAAAGTGCTGCTTCTTGATGGTCTGCGGGAAGTTGAAATCATCGAGGACTGCCACTGTGAGGCCAAGGTGACATGGTGCCTCCGTGCACCCTCTCTCAAGACCTACTTCTTCGAAACGCCATACGAGACCGTAATTGATGTTGGGAAGTGTGTGGGGTCAAAAGGTGAACTAGGTAAGAAAGGGCAGAAATGACACGTTTATGCACACTGCCCCCATCTCATTTGTTAAATGTGTTCTGAACACTTTTTGTTAGAACAATTCTGTATGCAAATGAACTCTCTGCAGTCAATAGATGGTTCTTTAGAGGTAAACTGGTATCTCTATCTGCTGCATCTGCACACAGTCACTTAACATAGACAGTAATTTAGATGCTTTTGCCCTACTCAGTAAAAGAACAGTACACTTATTCACTCAAAGCGCCCTGTGTAATAACTGTGCTCTGAGTCTCTGAGATTTCTGTTTTATTACTAGGTACAGGGAATCATGTATAAATGACCACACATAGTAATCAACCACATGCTACAGATGCTGTACAAAGACGCTATGATGAAAATCACTGTAGTATTATTTTAAAGGGCCATTCAATGTGTGGCCACACTGTATTAACGTGTGGGAACAAGATCCTAATATGTGCCACAACTTAGTAAAGCATGGGAATAAGATAATTAAGTTGTGGCCACAACTTAGTAAGGCATGGCAATGAGATCATGCCTTATTAAGCTGTGGTCAAGGCTTAATCATCTCATTTCCACACCTTACTAAGTTGTGGCCCCGCTTTATTTTTATTTATATGGGATGTCACCAGCAGGGCTCCATAATTTTTTTTTTATAGTATAGGTCCACAGAGCCCTTTGGCACTTGAAAACCAATTAGGTAGGCCTTTTTGGCCCAAAAACATTGGGATCCAGCTAAATGCATTGGTAGTTAGTAGCTTGGTCTACATTAAGGCTAATGTAATGCTTGTTTTCACAGAGGGATTTTCCTGTGTGCCTACTAAGTTTGATTCTGCTCTTGTGGACACTCCAAACAAAGCGGAGCTGATTCAGACGGTGGCAGGCTGTGATATGAAAGAAGGCTGCTACAGAATCCCTTATGTGGAATATCATTATGAGATCACGTACAATGAGGAAGGGCTCAAAGAAGAGAAACTGAAGGTAAGTTTGAAACTAGTAAAAGCCTAAAAGAGGCAAAAGCCTAAAATGTAGTGAACATGCCACTCAAGGAGTATTAGATGGTGCAGACAATTAGCTGATGTTAATGCAAAGGTGAAAATGGCCTCTATTGTCTGTAACTTTAACATTTAATTAATATAATTCAAAGAGCTAAATTTCTTGAAATGTGTTTGTATGTCTTAACAAAACCATAAAACAGATAAATTTTTTTGGTATTTCTTGCCAAAGAGCATAAAATGATCTCCAGCTTAGGCTGCTGGTCTCACACCAGTAATGTTTGCCAATTAAAAGGGGAAATTAGTCGTTTCCATTTGGCGTTAGCTGTAGCTAACAAGTGATCCCCATTTGCCAGACGCAAAGCCTATTAAGCCTATGATCCATTTCCCCCAAACGTTATCCATGTCTTGTTTTTTGACAAACCAAATTATAAGCGGTTTGTAATAGTACCAAGTACTTAATTGACTGATTTCTACTTGTTCCATTCATTTGATACATTAAGCTCATACAGCTGCATATCTAAATAATTTCAGTCAAGCTTTGCTATTATGTGTCTTTCATACAATTACGCTAACCGAATTGATATTTTACTACCCTAAACACTGCTTTAAAGTTGTATACATCCATTTCCCACTTTTTAAAATACAATTTTGCTTTTACAAGTCAAGAAATTGTTTCTTTTAGTCATTTGAGTAGAAATACGGACCATCTGTTGCATCTCAAGGAAGGTGTGAGGAGAGGCTCACAAATGGCCCCAGCAGGTGCCAAATCAAAGCACTTAGCATGTTAAGAGGTCCGCCCTGCCCCCCTGGGGAACGGAGTTGACCGGTGAATGTTAGCAGCTTGTGGTGAGCTGATTGCTTCTCTCTCTTGTGTTGCTAATTTTCTTACAGGAAATAGACGTGGGGAGATGTTTGGGAAGCTGCACCTCAGGAAACCGCTGTCTTCTCAGGTACACTTCAAAACAGCTGACACAACACAGCTTTGCAACCAACCCCCCAAACACACACACACAAATAAATTTATATTCCTAGCTTTATGGATCTTCTCCACCGTCTTTCAATATAAGTATAGCCAAATGCTATATAAGTAGCACCAAGTTACACTAAACCTGAACTTTACCTTCTGTAACAAAAAGCATCATAATTTTAAGGCTTCTAACAACAGAACAAGCGAACAAGTGACCCCACACAAGGAGCTAAAGCCCCTCAACCATCACCCAGACACCCACCTCAAAGCAGCATTTTGGTTTGTGGTTACTCTTTGTCAACTCGTGAACAAAAAACAGGTCTTACCTTCACCAACTATGATTCGATTTCAATATTAAACGTATGCACATGAGTCACGACAAAGACACCCTGTCTTTTAGGGTAACACTTTATTTGAAGGCTGCCTACATATGAACTTGCATAACACAAGCATTAGTATTGGATAAGGCATTAATAAAGCAATACTTGAACATTTCTAAGTGCCATTGCAAAATGACATAAGATGTCTGAAATAAATTACACTGCGGTGATGTAAGTTGCCATAAACTAAAGTGATGGCCGCTTAGTTCACTGTTATGAAGCATCATTCCCAAGAAATGGGATATCAGTTCTATGAAAGACTTCTGGAACCCTCAAGCTTAAGTGATCATTTTCATACACATATTCCCATTTGGGTATTTTCTATAAGTTCTACTCAGGATACGTTAGATGTACATGTCTGCAACCACAGACCAAGAGAAATTGTACTTTTTGTACTTTAACTGGAGTAGAAACATACAGAACTGATATGTGTCATTCTTAACTACACTCTTAGCAAAAAGGATTCTATACAGTACCAGAAGGGTCCTGTGACTTACGTAACACGTTGCGGTCCTCCAGGTCTTCCATACCATTTATCAATGCAAAGAAACACTTAAGCATTCAATTGGTGATTTGAGTTGTTATGGTTATAAAACTATTGCTGTTACTAAAGAACCACTGAGGAACCATTTTTAAGGGTGTTATCCTCTGCCTTAAAAATGTCATTAATTAGGAATAAATTAATTAGGAATGATGGCTCATAAAAGTGTTATAAATGAAACAAATTTCCATCAATTTAGGTCCCCTATATCCTGCACACTTTCTATTTATTAAGACATTGGAAAAGCATAACTACTTTATAATCATCAAGTATTGCTTACCTGTATTTATTACAATGTTAATGCTAATTGTAATGTAATGGTGATTTTGTTTGTTTTCTGATTTTGATGCAGTCAAAAGCAACAGTTTGGGTGCCCCCAGCCAAATTGTATATTTTGTTGATTTTCTAAATGAAAATGAGTTAACACATCTTCTACAGAGAACACACTTCTGCACACTTTAATACACAATTACTGGTTTTCATTTACTTTATTAATACAATATTTAACACAGTGGAAGAGAATAAAACATAAAACATGGCCTGAGCAAAATAATTTATTATGCATTAAAAGTGCAGAAGTGCAGAAGTGTCCTCTGCACAGGATGTGTTAACAGACACTCAGACTGTGAGACTGAATACTCACGGCTCTTCTTTACTCTCTGTTTTCTCAGGAGCGCCTCGGACTCTGCTGAGTGTTTGCTGTGGGCAGAAGGGCAGGGCAGCGCGTGCGTGCCGCAGGGCTACGAGAGCCACACGTTCCTGAACCAGCACGGCCAAACCCGCACAGTGCTCGCCATCACCTCGTGTCTCTGCCAGTCTTAACCACAGCGCCCTCTGCTGGAGCCACCCGCCCGCCGCAGCGACCACAACCAGCACACTGTAAAAAACGAGCCGATGTTCTAACTTGAAAACGAATCTTCCACCATATTTCTATTGACATTAATGGAAATTAAACATCATACAATAAGCTAACAGAGTGAAACACACCGGCAAGTTTTATGTAAATTTGCTATTAGAAGTTACATCGACTTTTAAGATAGCAGGGTTACGGTTTTTAAGTTAAAACAACAAATCGTTTTACAGCGGATGATTTGACTACACTCTTCAAATTAAGAGTCTCTGTGTTATAAAGCGTTCTGTGGAGCGATGGCACAGATGAACCACACAGGTAACCTAGAGAACCTTTCAGAGGGTGGTTCTTTAAAGAACCATTTTAGTAAATACGATCGTGAAGAACCTTAAAGAACCTCCTGCACATAATATAAAAGCTCTACGCCAATTAAAGGCACGTTAACGCCAAGAGCCATTAAGGACGTGTAGACTACATTTTTTGTTTATTTTTTTACATCGATGTTACAAAATTCTTGTCGAGGAAAAAATGTTTTCTCTTACATAACCACACTTGGCCTCTCTCGGCAGTCCCTGTAATATATGTAAAATATGTACATTTAATTTTGTAAATAAAAAATATGTCTTTACCTGTACTGTATGCGTCCTGTCTCTTCTAAAGTGCTTTTATAAATCGGATGGAGCAGCAGAACATAGATAGATAGATGGATGGATAATATATATCTATGAGAGAGAGAGAGAGAGAGAGAGAGAGAGAGAGACTTAAGAAATATTAATGTAATTATACATTACACGTATATTTACACATACATACACAGATCAGTGCACACAAGACATTAACACTAATGCATTAATGCAAACATTCAGTGATGCGTGATCTGTGAGGTATTATTAATATGAGTGTTAGGAGTACATCTTGTTTCACACCTTACCTAAAGGCTACCCACATTATGCATAAGCACCGAGTAACATTTTTATAAAGCAACCCATACAAACGTATGAAATGGCATTTTTTTTGTATTATTTAGTTTTATTGTGTATCGTACTGTCTTTAAAGAAGTATAACACAGGTACCGACAGAACCATTTAACCATACAGTACTATTTATTTATTTATTTATTTTTTCTCACTGTTCTTAGGTGTTCGGATACAGTTTTTGAATGAAACAATTTTAAATGTATCTCACATATTAAAAAACATTTACCGTTTTCCATAGGCAAAAATAAAAAGTAAAATGAATTAAATAAAAATAAACGAATAACACAGTCAAAAATTATACCAAACTATGCAATGAACGCACTCAAGACTTGAATCTCTACACATTTATTTCTTGTAAAGTTTATTCGTTTATTCGTCTCGCGGGGCTCTGATGAACAGCGCTTTCTTCAGCCTCTTTGTTGAACAGCTCCTCTGTGAGACACGTGCTCGTTCCTCTTTCAGAAGAAGCCGCTGCCTTTCATGCAGCGTTTTTTCTACAACTGCCCAATAAATAAATCACCTCATCACAGCTGCGTGTGACTTACGATGGGCTGTTGAGAGAAAGGAGAGAAAGAACTGCCTCAGCGATTATATTTGTGCTCGTCGCGCTGAATCTTTGAAGACAGAGAACCTCAATAGACGTGAGCACTGGACCACGCCGAAGAAGACCACCCGCTTCTACTTTTATTCATTTCAGTCAAAGCATAAAGGTAAAAATAAACGTGTAAAAAGATCTATACTATAGTTAATAACAGCATATGACATGGGAGGGAACACGGGTAGGATAAATATTACAGTCAGGGTCAGGAAAGGTCGATGTTTGACTTGTAACAATAGTGGAACACTTTTCAGTGCTACATAGAACCATTTTTAAAGGTTCTGTAAAGAACGACAACAAGGTTTCATTTAACCTATATATATATATATATATATATATATATATATATATATATATATATATATATATACAAAAGTCTGAACGCCCCAGTCAAATTAAAAATGACATATTTTCCGAAAATATGGCATTTTCTGTTAATTTTATTGCACATTTTCTATTAATTTACTGAGCCTGACATACTGGAAAAAACAAAATATAAATATAAAATGTGCCTTAACTTTTGCACAGGCCACATGTTATGCTTTTTCAAACTGCTTATTTTTTTGCAAATAAACTATAGTTGTACATTAAAATGTGCACAAGTGTGGGGGAGTGTTAACTTATTTTCATTTAGAAAAAAACATTATTTGACATAGGGTGCCAAAACTTTTGCATACGACTGTACATCTGCATTCAAATGGTTCTTTGAGTTGTCACGGTTCTATGCACAGCCATCGCCTTTATTAAAGAACACTCGGAGAACCTCTTTGAATGACGCAGTGTGAACTTACCACCGTAGAAAAGGAGTCAGGAACTGAAATGAAGAAATAAAATAAGTAAACAACGACAACACAAACAAAAACGAGCCATTTGCCCAGACAGTCTCCATCACATTTTAGAAAGCACTACTCCAGGTCTCACTGTGAAATCAGGTCTCCCCGTTGGGAAAGGACTGTTTTCATTAACAATCCATAACACTAATGGCCGAAAATAAAGGGGCTTGTGGCTATTTATGCTAATGCTAATCATGGGTGGATTAACAGAGGGCCTATGTGAGATTTGAGCCCTTCAACCAAACTGAACTGTTCTGTAAAATATTCTCCTTAAGTAGATTAATATGGCTGTGTTTGAGCAGGTGTGGGGGGCATTTTCACTTTGTTTGTCAGGCTAATTGTTGTTCCTGTATCAGATTATCCTCGTTTGTCTAGATTAATCGATCCATTTTGAAGGACGTTAACCGCCTGCGGTGCGCAAACTTCCTTGCTGAGCCTTCTCAGTCTCAGCCCAAACAAATCTGTAAAAAATCCTCACTGGAAACCCGCCTAAAGTTAGAACTTACATTCACAATGTTCACAATTTTCCATATAAAACGATTAGGTAGAACTTTTAAAACCTAAATGAATGAGAACACTTGGAACAGCAATCCTCCTCCTGATCTCACATCACTCCCTAATCACCAGTCAGGTTCACACCTTGTTAACACCGCCATTAGCTTTGCGTTACATTCCCTCATTATTGACTTACATTTGCGACCAAATAGCACCTCTTTATCGCTGTTTACCGAAGACTTAACAGTGCTAACCGCTTTCACATAAAATGACGCCTGCACGGAGGGCTGCAGTCAGTTGCCTCCAAACTTCTACCAGGAGCAACATCAGGGAAGACCCCTCATCTACGGAGTACAGAGCCGCGATGTTGCCTGCCGCCTTCTTGTTCCTGGCCTCCATCTTGGCTCTTGGGAGCCCCAGACCGTCTCTGAACTATTTGCAGAACCACTTTTCAGTGGAGGGCGAGTCGGAAGAGGTTCGTTCAGCTGCTCTCAAAAGGCTTTTGGAAGTGTTTGGCTTGGAGGACCATCCTGCCTCGCCTCCTCGGTCCCACAAGCAGCCTCCTCAGTACATGCTGGACCTGTACAACACGGTGGCGGACGTGGACGGCGTGACCAAAGACCCCACGGTGCTAGAGGGCAACACTGTCCGCAGTTTCTTCGACAAACGTAAGAGAAACTTCACTAATCTGAAACACTGAGAGGCAGGCGGGAAGTGGGCTTTAGGATTGTTAAACTGTAACTGCTAGGAATAATTTAATAGTAAAGAGGTGGTCACCTGCAAAACCAGCGTATGTTGTGTTTTGGATGCTGGTATGCTGGTCACCCAGTACAACCCTGCTGGGGGTGACCCAGTACGACCTAAACTAGCCTAGACCTAGTTTAGGTGCTGTTTTTGTCAGCAGGGAGCCCTCCCATTATCTTCAAATTTACAAACCTACCGAATTTAATCTTTATCCTTTATCTTTATCAGTTTGACCCCAGCAATATAAATCTCCAGAAAATAATACAATGAAAATTGTTAAGTTTATGTGAGTTATTTTGTTTCTTTGCAAAAAAAGGCAATCATTTATTTAGAGACTAATATTTTTGGAAATATATATTTTGTAAAACTTACATAATCATGCCCCACTCTTTAAATACATTGTTTTTTTCTTTGTTGTTTGTTTGTTTTTATTAACCATTCTTTCTCCTGATCATTGTGCGTTTGTGTGTTGAGCTTCAGGGTGTAGGGACTTTAAAAGCACTCAAAAACCTAACAGCAGTGTTAAAGTGTTTTGTATTCAGGATATTAATGCATTCCTCCATATAAAAATGTTTAAGCCTTTACAAACTATGATTTTGCTCAAATCCTCCATATTAACACATTCATTTTGGACTCACTCAGGAGCACCCTCTAGTTTTGACAAACCTCCTCACTGCACATTATCTGGATGTACATCAGCAGTTCTATGTGAATATTGTGGTCTCTTGCCACATTGTGGCATATTATGAGGCATTCTGTTTGATCTTACTTATTAAAAAAAGAAAGAAATTAAGCAAATCACTCTGCATGACGCCACCGTTCACATCCCGTACATGCTGCTTACAATTTAAGCTCCCACAACTTAGACAACTTAACATCTTCCTGTGTCCCTGCTGAGAGATATCTACGATTGTAGTGACGTGATGTGCAAATATACCAACAATGTGCAAAGTAGTCATGCGTCATTATAAATAAAGCCTTCTTTTTTCTTCCTTGAACAGTGCGCAGTGACCAAATCGAGTTTCTGTTCAACTTGTCCACCGTGGCGAGGAGCGAGAAGGTCCTCACTGCTGAGCTCCATCTGTTCAAACTGAGACCTCAAGCATCGCTCACTTTCAACAGGCATCACTTCTGCCAGGTAGGACCATATCTTACTTTGGGATAGCAAATGAAAGCTAAAGCAGTACTACATTCTTGCTTTGTTAGTTAAAATGTAATTTAGTATGCAAATAATACAATATGTGTTTGTGATAATAACACTATGCAAAATATACCTGGCACTTCTACTAGCAAAATGTATATATTTTTAATATATCCTCTGGAAAGTGGCACATGACAATCAGCTTGCATTGAGGAACAGAAAATGTGAAAAGAAAGTATATAAATGGCTGTTTTTTGTCTTTGTTTGCAGGTCAGTGTCTATCAGGTTATTGATGGCAGCAAAATGAACATCAGCCAGAGCAAGAAGCTTGTGTCTTCAAGGCTTATTCCGATACATTCCAATGGCTGGGAAGTGTTCACCATCACTCAAGCTGTAAGTTTTTTCTAAATAATCTTCATACATTGAAAACACTGTTTAAATTATCTTTATTGTAAGAATGGATAAGAATGTAAATGGTGAATGAATTAGTGAGTAAACACATTCTTTCTGTAGATCCGGACATGGACTTTGGATGAGCACAGTAACCTGGGTTTGCTGGTCACAGTGCAGACTCTATCAGGCTCTCACACTGACCTGAGGACCATGCGATTTGCCTCAGGCCAGAGCCACCACCACAGCAAACAGCCCATGCTGGTCCTCTTCACTGATGACGGAAGGCGTGCTCCCTCACTGGAGGGTGCTCTCAAGGGTAAGGAAAATTCAAAATAAAAAACTGAGAACTACTGAATTGTATTTGTGTTTTTCTCTCATTGATAAAGCTCTACAGCAATGTCTTGTTCAGCATGAGCATGTAAATGTTCCTTGATACTGACAGCTCCGTATATTCTTCAGGTTCTGAAGATTCCTCAGCTGGTTCCAGTCTCCCTGTCCCCAGCCTGACACTCCCAGCGGCGGGGCATCGCAGAGCCCGCTCCCTCGACTATGAGGAGGACCGGGACAAGATGTCATGCCAGCGCCTTCCTCTTTACGTCGACTTTGAGGAGATTGGCTGGTCAGGGTGGATCGTGTCCCCTCGTGGCTACAACGCTTACCACTGCAAAGGCTCCTGCCCCTTTCCTCTGGGTCAGAACATGAGACCCACTAACCACGCCACTGTGCAGTCAATCATCAATGCACTGAAGCTTACTAAAGGCATTGAGACGCCCTGCTGTGTGCCTGACAAGCTCTTCTCCATCAACCTCCTGTACTTTGACGATGATGAGAATGTAGTGCTAAAGCAGTACGATGATATGGTGGCAGGAAGCTGTGGGTGCCACTGAAGTCCAAAACTATTAAACATGTATATAAGCCCAGTTCAGCCCAGCTCAGATACATGCACAGGAAGTAGCTACACGTCTCATTGAAAAGCGAATGCCGGACATCAAGAGCACAGCTTGCTGATTATAATACCTTATAGGGTACCTGGATTTTTTCTGCTGTACTGAAAAATCAATAGCACTGATGAATGATGTTGTTTGGTAACCTGGAATGAAGTTCGGGTGAAATGATGGACTGCATGGATGAATTACTCAGTCCTTCGTACAGCTTTGTAAAATATGTAAATAGACATAAATGCTAATATATGGAGGAGCTTGGGGTGGTTACTTGTAAAAGATGTACATTTGTAAATTGCATGTTGTGAACTATTATAAATTCTAAATAAAATTTAAAACAAAATGGCATGTGGAGTTACTGTTGAAGGACATCATAAGTATTACAACAAAACAGATAAAAGGGGTGCTAATAGTGGCTTTACCACAATTAAAATAAGACATTTGCACAGTTAGAGGGCTTACAAACCAGGGTTGGGATACCTTTCATGACTTAGGAAATCATATTCAGTGTGGAAGATACGATAATTATGAATAGAAAAACGAGGTGTGCCTAATCCTTCGACAGAAACACTCACATTTACTGATGAAATCAAATGACTAACATGAAAGGTCTATCAAAATTTGTCTAAATGAGAATACAAATACATAGAAGTGTCCCTGCTCCTAGCCTAGTAAAACTCCACTACTGCAGAGAGAAGTGTCCCTGCTCATGGCCTAGTCAAACTCCACTACCGCGGGGAGAAGTGTCCCTGCTCATGGCCTAGTCAAACTCCACTACCGCGGGGAGAAGTGTCCCTGCTCATGGCCTAGTCAAACTCCACTACCGCGGGGAGAAGTGTCCCTGCTCATGGCCTAGTCAAACTCCACTACCGCAGGGAGAAGTGTCCCTGCTCAGGGCCTAGTCAAACTCCTGGTGTTGGGAAGCTAGTTAGATAACCTAACTAGTTATCTAACATGAAACAAACGGTTTTCATATGCAACTTCCAGCACTCTGGCTGTTTCTCTCCAAATTGCTTGGAGTGATGTGTTCATGGCGCTCTGTCTTTGTTAAGACAGTGAGGAGGATGACAAAGAATGCTGATGTGTGGCCCAGTGGCCTAATGGATAAGGCATCAGCCTCCGGAGCTGGGGATTGTGGGTTCAAGTCCCACCTGGGTCGATGTGTGTTGTTAGATGTCTCAGACAATGTCTGTTAATTTAGTAACAAGCAGAAAACAGTCAATAATAATACGCCTAAAAAGTTAAATAAGGAATTTTCAATAATAACAATATGGTTATATACAGTACTGTGCAAAAGTCTGAGTCTACACATTGTTTATACCATTCCAGTAAAAATGACCATTAGGTACAAGGTTTTTTTTTTTCAGAAGATATTTCTGAGGAGATTAGATATAAAATAATCCACTTTCATAAGGAAGGGGGTAGTCAAAGGAAAAAAATATGTGGAAAAAAAGTTTCTGAAACTGGAAATTTTTAAAAGATAAAGAGAAAATGAAACTCCAAACAACTTTGCAAGTACTAGTACACCAACAAAACTGTCACCATCAGAAAAACAGTACTTAAAGCTTCTGTCGTTGAGAGTTATGAGAAAATCAGAAGACAACTCAACAATATGGTTCTGACAGGATGCCATGAAGCTGTTACAGAGAAAAGGAAATCAACAAAAACCTGCAAAACAAACAAAAATTAGCTAGTGTTCTCAGAACAATGGACTGGCCACCACAGAACCCAGACCTCAGTGTCATGAAATGTATTTGAGATTACTGAGCTGTGAAAAGCAGAAAATGCAACCAGCTTCTAAGACTGAACTTTGGAGGTGTGGAAAAATCCCCCTGCAGATTTAAAAATCTAAAAGCAAGTCTCTTGAAAAGAATAGAAGTATATCTGTATTTTATTTATACCTGAGAATCTGAGAGTATTCTTTCACCCATTATGGACAATAGCCACATACAGAATCAATAGGTCACAGGTCTACTACGTGTGGCCCATTGGCGTAATGGATAAGTTCTTCTGGCTTCTGGAGCTGCAGATTGTGGCTTTTGAATCCCCCTTGGGTCGTGGATAGGTTTTCAAAGCCTTTGTGTCAGAACACTTGTTATGGTAACAACTTGTCGTGTTCAATTGTGGAAAACTCATACCTCATTACAAAGCACTGAAAAATGTAGTCTCACTGGGCCTCATAACATGAATATCTGGGGCTACTATGAGAGACTTTGGGCTGATGTTGGTAGACATGTACCCTTAATAGGGCTGGGACAAACTGAGTGTGACAGTTCTAAACTGAACCAAGGCCAGAGATCTCCACAAGAGGGAGCTACTACCACTCAAGTAGGTTTTGTATGCATCACTGAAGGAGATGAAACAAGTTAAAGCAGGATTTAATTTGCAATATTTTCTGAAGGATTCAGTCCAAGAAGAATTTAAAAGGAAATTCCTTTTTTTTTTCCAATATTTTGGCATAATTAAACAGTTAAGATGTAAACAGAGTCGTTCAGAGTGGTCTGATGTTAAATACTATAGAATTTCTTCTAGAGAAACCAACTACGTTAGAATGGTTCACAGTGATCGTGATAGGAACCAGACATCTGAAGCATTTAATGCCTCTAAAAGCTCCCTCAAAGAAAGTCGTAACACAGAATGAAAGCAAAAACATTGCTTGGTGTCTGAGACACTGTTTTATTATTATTTTCAGATAATGTTTAATAGATAATAATAGATTTTTAAAATCCATTCATGGTGGAGAGGTACATGCAGCAAATTGTAAGGCAAAACAGTCCCTTAAGAAAACCTGGTTTTCAGATTTACCACTAGTTTAACATTATCAACATTACAAAGACACAGGCATGGTCAATGGTCATGTCGGATAGTAAATAAAACTGCTACATTTGTGTTGTAGACATTGCGACCGCTGGTTCCTCTCACCACAAAGAAAAGACTGAGTTGGTAAGTTTCTCTACAATGAACAATTCCACATCAAACCACTCTGAATGGCTTTGCTTACACCTCACCAATTTAATTATGCAGAAATGTAGAAAAATCAGCAGAGTTCTTCAAGGAAAAGGCAAATCCAGAAGGAAATTTTGGTCAACAGCTGAACTGCAAACAAAAATCTGTCTCATATCAGTAACAAGGAAGAGTGTTGCACTGACAGCATGTGCTTCTCTGGTAGAGTGCTTGCGTAAACAGTACATATAAAGCTGATAACTGTCTCATTTAGATGATTAGTTGTCATGGTTTTATTTAATTTCATGCACACCTATAAAAAGGGATTATCTGCAGAACTGAAACTTGAGCCAGCAAGAAATATAGCCTGTGGAATGACTACATCTTTCTGAAGGTCACTTATTTTTCCCTAATAAAATTATATGCAAATTAGACAATGTATGCTTATACTTATTTGCAAGTACAAAGTAAAGCCACAATGGTGAAATAGTGCCTTGGATTGGTTCACTGAAACTGAAAGATTCATCCTTGCAAGTTTCATTGGTTAAATTTAATTAAAACATGATGAGGATGTGGCTCTCTGATGTATAGTCCAGTGACATTGCCAACTGTCACTGCTGGCCGGCTTTAATTCCCCAAATATTCTCAACTTGCATCTCAAGAGATGAGTATGCTTACTGCCAGACGTGTTCTTGTAATGAGAATACATGTCTGGGGACAACATGTTCAACTTTTGGTGCTGGACTGTGGCAAAATCTGCCACTGAACAAGAATACAAACCCACCCCTATATTCATCTAGTCTGTTCTCTTTTAACATCCACAATACAATAACAACTCTTTTTGGAGGGACATTTCAGCAGGGATTTACTGACTGGGCCAGTAAGGCCAGTGCCCAGGGGCCTCTGATTTCCATGAATAGTCCTTGAATAACTATATGGACAAAAGTATTGGGACACCCCTCCTAATTATTGAGTTCAGGTGTTTCAGCCACTCTCATTACTAACAGGTGGATAAAATTAAGCACATAGCCTTGCAGTCTCGACAAACACTGGCAGTAGAATGGGTCATACTGATGAGCTCAGTGTCTTTAAACATGGCACTGTCATAGGATGCTACCTCTGCCACAAGTCAGTTTGTGACATTTCTGCCCTGCTAGATCTGCCCCTGTCAACTGTAAGTGCAATTATTGTGAATTGGAAGCATCTAGAAGCAACAACAGCTTAGCCATGAAGTGGTAGACCAGGCAAACTCACAGAGCAGGGTGGCCAAGTGCTGAAGCGCACAGTGCCTATCCTCTGTTGAATCACTCACTATAGTGTTCCAAATTGCCCCTCAAAGCAACACCAGCAAAAAAAACTGCTTTTTTTTGCTGGGGGGAGGGGGGGGGGTTGTGTAAAGCATGCTGCCAGTGGACTCTGGAACAGTGGAAATGTATTCTGTGATATGACGAATCATGTTTCTCTATTTGACAGTCTGATGGACGAGTCTGGGTTTGGTGAATACCACGAGAACAGGGGTTTTTCAGGGGCTGGCCCAGGCCCCTTAGTTTCAGTGAAGGTGTGGGAACAGTTTAGGAAAGGCCCTTTTCTGTTCCAGCATGACTGAGCCCCAGTGCACAAAGCAAAGTCCATAAACGCATGACTGGGTGAGTTTGGTGTGGAAGAACTTGACTGGCCCACACAGAGACCTGACCTTGACCCCATCAAACACTTTTTGGGATGAACTAGAACGGAGATTGCGAGCCAGGCCCTCTTGTCCAACATCAGTGTCTGACCTCACAAACGCTCTTCTGGATGAACAGGCAAAAATTACCACAGACACGCTCCAGAATCTTGTAGAAAGCTTCCCAGAGAAGTGGAAGCTGTTATAGCTGCAAAAGATGGACCACCTCCATATTAATGCCTATGGATTTAGAATGGAATGTCATAAAAGCTCCTGTAGGCGTGTAGGTTTCCCAATACTTTTGTCCAAATAGTGTTTGTGACGATTCAGGCGACACTGTATGAATTATTTTTACCGATATATTAAATTTAGTAAATTGCATTAAAATGTGCAGAAGTGTGTTCTCTGTAGAGGATGTGACGTAACTCATAAGTAGGAACTTATTTTCACATAGAAAATCCACAAAACATCTGACCAGTGGCTCCAAAACTTTACATGCAACTGTAGTTTTGTTATCTTATGCATTATGATGCTTGTGCCTAGGGGCCTCATGAGACCATGATCTAACCCTGCTTTTCAGTGATAACGTTTACCGGCTAACAACAGGCTTGTGCAGTCTTGGTGAAGTGCACCATCTACTTTGAGCACCACCTTCACACTGAATTGGTTTAGAAGTTTCGTGCTCTGTTTGTCCCCACCCTAATAAGTCCACGTTCCCACCCACACTTAGCTCAGAATTTCTCATGATTGTCCGCAGACGTCTGGCCCCGCGAGACATTTGCTGTAGCTCTGTAAGGTTCTGTAAGAGCCCATTTATTTTGGACTCCCACAGAAGCACCCTCCAGTGTCTGACAAACCCAAAAGACGTTATTCAGTGGCAATTTTCCTCTCTACGCATTCTCTGGTGTCAACCCTGGACCTGGGGGCTCTGAGTTGTCTCATTTGGATTGGCTCCAGGTTTTCAAAACCTTTGTGTCAGACCACCTAGTACTATAAAAGCTTCTCTTATGTCATTATGTAAACAGTGACATATTCAAAGGCAGGAAATGGACAGTTCATTGTGGAGAGCAGCAAAAACATGCTAATGTATGAAAATGAGTAGAGACTGTGTGCTAAACTAGAATCAGGTAAACATGTCCTCTATAGGGAACATACTTTGTTTATTTACTGAATTTAACCTACTGAAAAATAAATAAAAATGCCTTAAAATTTTCCTTAAATCCTTAAACTTTTGTCTGCTTATTTGTTAATAAACCACGTACTGCAAGAAGCACTACTGTGCTAAAATGTACTTAAAATCAATCAAACTTATTTAAACTACACTGAGGGTGACCCTCATTTACAGTGTAGCTGAGTCAATAGAGAAATCAGGCATTGAAAACATTAGATTGTAAAAACTTAACAATAGTAAATTATTTACAACAGTAAATTTAATGGTAAAAAATCAATCAAATCAGAATAAACTGTTCAAATTGCACATATAAAACAACTTATTAAATACCAAATACCAGATCAAATAGTGATAAAATAATTAAAAAACACAAAGTTAATAAAATAAATAAAAGAACAGATAATGTAAAACAATAACTTAGCAGTAACTAAAAAGTAAAAGTTAATAATAAAACAAATAAAAAATAATAATTGTAAAAGAACAATAATATACCAAAATAAAATTAAAACATAACTAAAATAAAACAGAACAGTTGCAGGCTGAGTGGACATTGCTGGAGAGAAAAGTTTAAACGTTCATGTGACACCAGTGAGCAGAACTGTAGAGCTTCTTGTAGTGAATTCCAGCTCGCTGGTTCTCTGTAACTAAAAGCAGATTTTCCCAGTTCAGTACGAACTCTCGGCACCTGAAGGGTGATCTAGTCACTGGACTAAGGCTGAAAATGTGCATTGTTCTAGAGTTGCTCTATTGTGACATCAGTGCCACAGCCATCTGTGTCTGATACGGCATTATTGGGCTCGCTCCTTCTGGGTGGGTAGCCCCCTATTAAAAAATTGCTCCCCTCTTCCATGACATTAGGCCCTATTCTTCCTACGTCCGATTCATGACCTGTTCTTAAACCACAGAACTGTTCACACCTTTCTGCTCTTGAGTGTGTGTAGATTCTGTTCTTACCTAAGAACAAATCCCAAATAAGGAAAAGTTTTTTTTTTGTAAAAACTGCATAAGTGGGTTTTAAGAAGAAATGTATTCTTAAGGACAGTTGGTGAATGAGGCCCATTGTGTTAGTGGCAGTTTAAAAGGTGAAGTAGCACATGTCTTGTAGGAAACACTTGCTACTCTTCTTCTTCCAAGCTCAGCATCAAATGATGAGGGGAGAAATTTTATAAACATTTACCGAACACAGAATTTACCCGTCAAACAAGTAAAAATATAATAAGCTACTACCATTCAGCGGACTGGATTATGTATTTAGTTTGCTTGTTTGCCAGGTCTTGTAAATGATATTTTTGTTGTTTTGTATTTCTTATTTATGATTTTTATTTTGATGGATTTACTGGAAATCATGTCTTTAGTCCTGCTGCTAAAATTAAAATAAAAAAAAAAAAGATTTCAGAAAAATTACTTGACATTCGTCTCACATGACTACAGTTCATCAGTGGCCCTCTTCTTCTTCATGTTCTTTTGCACTCCGTCACCAGCACTGTCTTCTTCTTTAGTTCAAACACTTTGTTATCCTTCCATCTCCAGCTCAGCTTGATGTTGAAGGACCCCTTCTTCAGCTTCTGCTCAATCTTAAGTAGCATAAGAACAGATTCACATGAATCTTAACTGAATGTAGAAAATTGTGATATGATAATGCTACCAAAAAATGCACACTGACTTATTATATATTCATTATAAATGAAGAATTTTCATACATTGTGCTAAAAAGTATAAAAATGGTAGAAACGTCAAGTGCGAGACTGACTTTGCCAGATAGCTAACATGAAGTACATACAGAGTTCTGTTCTGATGTGAGTGGGTTTGGTTGGCACATGTGTCAGCCTGTTCAGTGGTAGGGCTATTGTCACAAACATGTATTAAATTGCTGCTGTTGGAAGAAAACCTTGTATGTCTATTTTTGTTGTTTTTCAGTTTTTGACGTAATTTGAAAATGCCTGCTATTACATTGCTACATTACATTGTGTGCAAATTTCATGAAGAATGGACCAAAAGAAACGGCCCAAAATGACTTTAAAAAATGTGGTTCCATTGACTTACACTAAAAGTAAAGCAGGTTGTTTTTCCTTTTCCTGTAAAGTTATCATTTTAGAGATACAAGGTTTTCTTCTGGCCACAACGATATGTATAATGTATTTTGTATTATATGCTGCACGTATAAAACCAAATAGCATATTAATAATAGCACGACAAGAATGCAGTACTCTACTGTCACTGTTTATACTGAATTTACATTAAATGTATAACATGTTGTACCTCTAAGCTTTAGTCTACTTGATGATAAGTGAGTCTAACTGAAGATGAAAATAATAAATCTTTGCACCCAACTATTTATGTATTAGATATTAAGTTTATATTTTTATTCTAAAAGGTTTAACATTTTTTATTTTTTATAATTTTAAAAAGCTAGTTTAATTGTTGAAATTTACAGTTTTGTTATACAATTTATTTTTTAATTATTGTTCCTCTCATTATTCTTGCATGTGAGCCAATGAGAAAATAAAATAAACATTTCTAACATTCCACTGATGTAAAAATGTTATTTGGCTGTCATTAAATGTTTACGTTCATGGTTTTCTTTAAATTAAAAAGCTCTGATTATTTCTATTTGTTGCTTCAATCTTTGAAAAATATAGCCTTTTAATGTTGTGCCAAGCAGCCCCATGTTGAGCCCTTGGTTGGCACAAGTGCCATGAATTTAGTCGAGAATGCACAAATTCTGGTAAATCACTTCTGACACTGAAAGTGATTTTCATTTAAGCTAAGATAGTAGGGTTATATGGGATGTTTAAGGTTGGGCAAAATACTTAGTGATGGCTGAATACTGAATACACCATCCTACATGTTTTCAGTAATGCATTCTGTTACCAAACATAAAAAAAGATAAGTATTCATTTAGGTTTAGGTTTACGGTACATCTTGGTAAAGCACTTTTTTAATCTTAATTCACACTGTTCTTTGCTGTTACTGGTTGGCAGTTTTCTTTACGTAGCTATTTTTTCTGTTCATACGTTTCATGAAAAATTTGCTTATCATTTAAAAGAAGTTCCAAAAATTCTTTTTTCCTTTTTCACTTTCAACTGCCGCTCCCACAGTCCTCTGAGCAGCACAGTATAACACTGATTCAACTATCACAAACACATCCCCTACTGAGATTATTAGTTTTAATTATTAGATCATCCCACAAAAGAACTCAGTAACACCAAGATTAATTTTGATTTATCAGTCTACTCAGGCTTTAGTCTGAACTTCACTCTTTGTAAAGAAGCCATTCATTGAGGTCCTCTTTAGAATTCATCTAAAAAGCATGTTGCTACTTGCCAGATTATCGTGAATATTTTTTTTTTATTTCAGTGGGTAAGTATTCTAAAAGTCCTCTCCTAAAAATGTAAAAGGTAACTGTATACTCTGAATACTGCCTGTACTAAATGAAACTTGGACTGAATACACATACTTAATTTATGTATTCTGAATATGTATTCCCAATACCTGTATTCGATTATATCCAAACCCTGGGTATGCCTGGGATATACAGCAGAGTGAAACTTTACCAACCAACCCGCTCTCCCAAACATTGTAAACCAAAATTTCTTTGCTTCTAAAACTATTTAAACAGACAGTCATTTTCTGTTTTCCACTTGCCTACAAAGTTTGGAAACTCAGTGTCAGTATCCTAAAAGCAGAGACTGACCTGATTCAGAATTGCTGAATTCACTGCAACGTCATTCAAATTCACGTTACTGTCCGAGCTCACTGTCACTCTCACTATCTGTTTCCTCTGCTTCAGATCTGAGGAGAGATGCCAGAGATACAACTTTACTATCTTTAGAATTGTGTATTTCCTTCAAGTATGCAGTTCCAAAACACATGGAAAGAATAAAATTGTCAGAGTTGAATGGTTCCACACAGCACCACTAAGTGCAGGTAGTTCCACTGTGTATAGATCAGTAAGTATTTTTAAATAAAATGTATGCAGCATCATTCAAAGGTTGCCTACATCATTTTGCCCAGCACTTCAACCAGTTCCTTCAAATTCTTGTGAATCAGCTGAGCTGAGGTTCCACACTCACCTCTATAGCAGACGAAATTGTGTTGCAGGCTACACTGTTCATCATACCATCTCCCAAAGTCATTCAAAGCCAGTGAGATGCAATTGTCAGTCTGGCCTGGTTTTGAATCTGCCCAGTAACGGAATGAGGAGTTATTCTGGTCTGACCACTTCCAGGAGTCACTGAACAGGCCAATCCACATGTACTCAACACTGTAATTCTTCGTAAGATCAGCAACCCTTTTGTGTTCTTCTAAGGTGTGGATGCTGACCAGGTCCGTATATTTATTTCTGCAGAGAGTCTGAGCTTCTTTCCAGGTTGTTTCTGTGGTCAACCCAACATATCGTCTGCCATCAGTTGGGTTTGCTTAGGAGTGACATCAGAGAACACTGTTAACCGCTGAAGCAATGTTTCACTCATAAATTCTCATATAGCCAACAGTACATTTACACTAATCAAGACTAAATTTTCCAATGTCATTTTCCAATGCTGTAGCTTTCATTCATTACGTACTACATTATAATTTTTAGATTTCACAATAGGTTGATTTCTTGCATAAAAGGGCCTGATAAGGGCAAATTTTTATTTTTTCTAAACAAAATTAATGACACTAGTGAAACATATTGGATGCTGAGTGCTACATGACATAATTGAATGGACGGGGCTTCTAGCCTCTAAAATTGTATACATGTTAAATACTTTATAAGTCAGATTTCCAAGCAAAAATGCAAAAAGATGCTTAATAAAATGTTATTCTATATTAAAAACTAAACAATAACTGAAATGTTACAACGTGACTGCATAAGTGAAACTTCACTTGCCAATGGCTAAATCTCACTGCTGCACAATGTTGCTTCAAGGCAACAAAGATATTTCGGCAATTTCTTATAACATAGAAAATTATTTAGATATAATAAATATTAAAAATAAATTGTTGTTTCTTCTAATTTTTTCTACATTTTTGAAAATTTCTTTCATTATTAGCCTTTTCGTCATCATTAAGTATATATCATGTCATCATACACTAAGGAAAATGGGTTTGTGTGGCGTGCGCCCATCCACCAGGCCTTGATGGCACCCACGAGAGCCAACAGGAGGGCGGGGCCCGAGCTCTGAGCAGGGACGAAGCCCAATGAGGACGGCGGGGGGGAGGAACACCATGAGTGAGGGGGTGACGGCGCCCACGTCCTGAGCCCCGCCTCCTGTCGGCTCTTGCGGGCGCCATCGGGGCCCAGTGGATCAGCGCACGCCACAGTTTGTTCACTGAGGCAACATTGTGCAACTGAGGGTTAATTTGTTCTTTAAAAGCACAACTCACCATCGTAACACAAACCAATGTACTTCTGTAAGCAGTTGTATGCAGACCACGCCTGAGATATTCTTCCACAGGGAAATGTTTGAGCAGCTCCCCCGTTTGTCCAGTTACTATACTTGGGCAGGAGGTCGTCTCCCATAGACCAGCCCCAGCTGGGCTGGTCTCCTCTTTTAAGTCCAATCCACACGGAACCATTATAACAAGGGTCTATTACAGACATCAGCATCCTCATCTCTTCCATGTTGCCTATAGTAGCTAAGTCAGTGTACATCACTCTGCAGTAGCTCTGAGCGTCCAGCCACGTCTTTTTCTCGTTCACATAGTGGTATTCCCGAGAGAAGAAAAGGGAAGAAACTCCAAACCCCAGACCTGTTGTAAGAGAAGAAGTTAATAACTTGCCTATACATCAATCAGCCAAATATGCTGTTGGTTCTTCATGTGCCACCAAAGCAGATTTGACCTGCCAAGACATGAATTCTACAAGACTTTTGAAGATGTCTTGCGGTTGTTACCAGTAGATCCTTGAGATCCTGTAAGTTGGACAGGTTCCAGCACATCCCACAGATGCTTGACTGGATTGAGATCTGGGGAATATGGAGGCCAAGGCAACATGAACTCTTTGCATTGTTCTTCAACGATGCACGAACAATGTGTGCAGTGTGTCAGTCCACATTCAGTGTGTCCACATGAATGCCCGGACCCAGGAGGACATTGCCCTGAGCACCACACTCTCTCCACCAGCTTGTCTTCTTCCCACAGTGCATCCTGGTACCATCACTTTCCCAGGTAAACACTGCACACGTGTCAAGGCCGTCCATGTGATGTAAAAGAAGCAGGACTCATTTGACCAGGGAATCTTCTTCCTTTGCGCCAAGGTACATTTCCAATGCCCATTGTAGGCACTTCTGACGGTGGACTGGGTTTAGCATGAGCACTCTGAATGGTCTGTGGCTACACAGACCCATACACAGCAAAATCAACATTATTCGCTTCATCTGTGAGTGGTCATAACATTTTGGTTCATCAGTGATCTTTGAAAAACATGCATTGGTTTAACTATGGGTCTGTAGTGCAAGGATCCCCTACAGTAGCTATAGCGCACTGCAGAATATGATTCCTTGCATGACAAATCATCTTACTTCTAGTCATTATACCTAATACAGTTTGAAACAAGCAAAATTGTTAATGAAATATTTGATACAATGAATTTTATCTAAAACCAGGTTGAATAGTCTTAAAATACTCTTACAATATCCTCGTAAAGAGAAATATTAGATATATCGACTAGATGGCATAGTTTCATCATCATTGGCATTGCTGGTGGAACGAGTGGAAAATGTACTTATATATGTACTTATATATACTATGTACTACATGTCAATATACTATAGACTATACAATAGATTATAGATTTACTACACCATATATTTTTTTGTTAAAATCCAGCTTGATGTTTAAGCATCCTCTGATAAAGATATGATCACAATATAATTCACTTATACCCTTGCAACACTTGCAATCATTGGATTCATCAGCTCGGGGAACCAATATTACAAAATGTTCTTCTGCATATTGCATGCAATTACACATTTCCAACAGAGAACACTCCCAACCCCTGAAATGTACATAGTGTAGCTTTACGTATTATTTTAGAAGATTTGTACTGATACCAGTTCATTTGGTAGACTTGTTAAAAAAGTCATAGGTTTCATCATAACTTCATAAAATGTGTACTAGCAGAGCGGACTGTGTTCAGTCTCAGAACTTAACTAGCTTTAGTGTTTTTCTGTACAGATTATTTCCAATGATGTAGCTGAGTCAGCTCCTAAATATGTTCAGGTTGTGACAGCAGAAATACGAAAAAGTAACTAAGTAACTTGGTACTTAGGTAGTTTTTAATGAATTATTCATTTACTTTTACTTGAGTAATTTTATTTATATTATGCCCCACTTTTACTTTTACATAATACTTTTACTTATACTTGAGTAAATTATCACTACAGGTACAATACTTTCAGTAATTTTCAGTAATTTTTTACTTTCAGTAATTTTCAGTACTCTTTACATCCCTGCTCATCTCCCACTGTGAAGTCAGTCGCAGTCTGAGGTAATGTTAAAAAAAATATATTGTTACACTGCCCCCTAACCACCTAGTGTGGAAGTACACCTCAGAATTTCTAGTGAGGGGAATTGCCACTCAATAATGGCTTCCAATGTTTGTTAGACACTAAAGGGCGCTCCCAGGTAAGTCCAAAATTAATAGGTTCCTATGGACCTTTTATGCAAAATCATAGTTATGTATATATATATATACACTGATCAGGCATAACATTAAGACCACCTCCTTGTTTCTACGCTCATTGTCCAGTTTATCAGCTTCACTTACTATATAGGTGCACTTTGTAGTTCTACAATTACAGACTGTAGTCCATCTGTTTCTCTGCATACTTTGTTAGCCCCCTTTTACCCTGTTCTTCAGTGGTCAGGACCCCCATGGACCCTCACAGAGCAGGTACTATTTGGGTGGTGGATCATTCTCAGCACTGCAGTAACACTGACGTGGTGGTGGTGTGTTAGTGTGTGTTGCGCTGGTCTGAGTGGATCAGACACAGCAGTGCTGCTGGAGTTTTTAAACATTCACTGTCCACTCTATTAGACACTCCAACCTTGTCAGTCCACCTTGTAGATGTAAAGTCAGAGACGATAGCTCATCTGCTGCTGCACAGTTCGTGTTGGACATTCTCTAGTCCTTCATCAGTGGTCACAGGACGCTGCTCACAGGACGCTGTTGGCTGGATATTTTTGGTTGGTGGACTATTCTCAGTCCAGCAGTGACACTGAGGTGCTGTGTCTGATCCACTTAAACCAGCGCAACACACACTAACACACCACCACCACATCAGTGTTACTGCAGTGCTGAGAATGATCCACCACCCGCTCTGTGACGGTCTATGGGGGTCCTGACCACTGAAGAACAGAGTAAAAGGGGGCTAACAAAGTATGCAGAGAAACAGATGGACTATAGTCTGTAATTGTAGAACTACAAAGTGGAGCTGATAAAATGGACAATGAGCTTAGAAAGAAGGAGGTGGTCATAATGTTATGCCTGATCGGTGTGTGTGTGTATACATATATATATATATATATATATGTATATATATATATATATATATATATATATATATATAGATATAGATATATATATATATATACACCAATATACATATAAAACGTCCTTTTTTGTTGCGAGATGTCGTTACTCCCGCTGGCTAAATTATTAAAAAAATACATAGCCAATAAACTCATGGAGCTTTAAGTTAACTTGCTAACATGAGGGTAGACTCTAACCCTAAACAGGAAAACTGAGAAGCTGCTACAAGGCTGCGAGGATGTTCAGGTTCAGGTTTGTGTTCAGTTACTTACATATACACTTTTAAAATAGATGGTTCTTTATGGGTTCTTTAGTAAGGACAATGGTTCTATATAGAACCATTAACACTCAAAGAACCATTTGCATGCTTAAATGGTTCTCTGCATGGTGAAATTGTTCTTCACACTGTTGGAGACTGTGCTGTATATGGTTCTATATAAAACCTTTTTAAAAAGGATTCTATATAGCATCAAAAAGGGTTCTGCTGTTGTTACTATGTCAAGCTTACAATAGAAGAACGCTTTTTTCAAAAAGTTCCTTATAGAACCATATACAACACATTCTCCATCAATGTGAACAACCATTTCACCATGCAAAGAACCATTTAAGCACGCAAATAGTTCACTGAGTGTTCATGGTTCTATATAGAACCATTGTCTTTACTAAAGAACCCATAAAGAACCATCTTTTTTAAGAGTGTAGGCAGCCTGTGCTGTACTTGAAGGTAATAAGAACCAGGCTGTTACATTTAGAGCAGAGGCTATAAATGAAGAGGTTCTGATGAATATGCAGTACACTGGGCTGCACGCACACACGGCTGAGTGTTAAAAGGTGACATTAAAGGTAATTTTGGGCAAATGTAACATGAAATTATAATTATTATTATTATTAAATAATTAATTAATTAATGGACATATATAGTGTCCTAGGTGTAAGTGCACTGGACATATATATTAGACAAATAAAACACTTTTTAGCACTGCATTCGCCCAGAGAAGCTGCTGCATGCTTACACATGCACACCTTAGGTTTAGGTGTGTTGGACGTATTGGCAATAATTAAAAAAGAGATTGTGTTTTACAATAAAGTGGGGTTGTGTTGTAAATATGCAGGTAGGAGGTCTGTGATTTTTGGGTGGAACGTGCAACTGGCTGCTGAAATTCTTAAGAATTTGTGCATGGTGAAGACCCATGTGTGCTTGTTTTATTGTGGAATTTCTATTTTATATTTTTTTTGTTTACAGTGGTGTCCAAATAAAATACACTGAAAATCTTTTTTTCAACCGGAAAATAAAAAACAGAAAGTTTTACAATTTTGTAAAAAGTTATGACGAGCAAACTGAGGAAGAAATATTCTAAATTCTGCACTATTTCGAGGTCACTATTGAAATTTAAGCAAATGTGTGATGGCATCTATGTTAAAGCCTTTGAACATGAAGATGTATATCAGATTGTCTTCCAATGAAGCTGGTGTTCAGATGACACTGGTAGATTTGATCTACTCTTCAGAGGCTTTTGCACGAACTTGTGGCGTTCGATTAAGCTCTTGAAACACTTACGTACCGCTTACTAGGAAATGGTGAAAATCCTTTTTAGAAATTCAGTAATACTATTTTTCACTCAATTGTTTGTGCTGATGGTATAATTTGTCGTTAAAACCCGTGTATTAAATTTGAAAATAATGCAAAACAGATTCATTTTCCCTAGTGCTCCGAGACTTTTGGAACCCAGTGTTCATAACTCACATACCATTCACAACCTGCAGTAGCCGCGCACTGTTTACATCAACGCTGTATTTTCACTGAATCTCTCCCCTCCGCAGCTGATGGCCGCTCTGTGCTGCGTCATCATTAGCGCTGCATTCACGTTTGTTTGTGATGAAATAACCGTCATTCGGCGACGACGCAAACGTTGGCATGGCGACCGCGTTACTGCCGATGATAGATGATTATCATTGGACCGCTTTAGCAGTGCAGAGTGTTGACTTAAGGTGGAAAAAGTCAGAAGGACACAAAGTCAGAAGGCATTCTTCTGTTTTTGTTGTATAATACTGTGTTTGTCTGGAATTCAACAACAAGACGTTTAGTGTCCATGGCACCCCAAAAAACAGTCTTGGGCTTTATTCCACCACTGCGGTTGTCCACAAAAGTTGGGAAAACTGAACTGTTGACGGACCCTTCCCGCTGGTGGGGGCATAATATTTGGTTGCAGCTGCGATGAAAACAGTGAAATATCCGATTCGCCACTGTCCGTCCACCGGAAACACATGAATGCAGCGTAAAATGCAGGCCAGTTAACGGTCCTCTTGCAACTTTGCCTCACTGCATCCTGTTAATTTCAGCGGAGAGCTGAAGGTCGTTCAGTGTATTTAAGAGTTGTGGTGCGGCGAAAAAGCATATTCAATTTCAAAACACTGTGCGCCGTTTTCCTACCACATGTTTTGTCGAAACGGTGCGAAAACGGGATTTGAGGTATGTTTTCTCTGGTTTGATGGGTGTGTCAAAGGTGTTACCCAATCAGCAGCGGCGTGTATATAAACCCCGCCCATTTAAAAAGGCCTTGCACACACTGGATTCTAATGAAGCCCTAACAAATGCAGCCAATGCAGGTTGGTGTACGCAACAATTGAGAAGGAAAAAGCATAGCAACCTCTTGTTGTCTTTACCATGGCT